AATTCTTCATCAGGAGGTATTCCTGCCTTGTTATTTATGGTTATTTTAGAAGGCTTCAAAACCTGGATGGCTTCTGAAGCCAAAAATTTCCATAGCAGAGGAATCTATGATTTGCTGTGAATCCTTTCAGCCCTCAATAGATGGGAAAAGATTGAAATGCTCTGGAGAGGAGTCCTCTTTATTTTTTTAATGAAAGGCTGTATAATATATTTTCTCTATGGCTGCAGCAGCTGTCAGGGAGAGCATCTCAGTTCAGCTCTATTACGGGAGAGGCAATACCCCATCCTATGGCATCGGGATGCTCTGAGGGGCCAGAGCTGATTGACAGCTTGTCACCGTGACGTCTTATTCCATCTCTGTTATGGAGAAAATTAATGTCACACCACCAGCCTTATGACTCGCTGTCATCTTAGAACCGCTCACCTTTTATCAATGCTCTAAATAACATTTCAAGCCCATCGTCTCACGGTGGACAATCCGGTCAAGGGACATTAAATCAGATGACTGTGAAATGTCATAATAAAAATGGAATGCTAACAACTTCTTCTCTAAACTAGCTCCTCTGGTTTTTAAACTGTGACAAGGGGGAGCAAGGGTTCAGCATACCCGCTCTGAAAAGGTCATACAATCGCTCTTGGTCTACTACCCATTACTAACCGCCCCTATTGACCTTCCCTGCTTTCCCCCCCCCCCGCCCAGAAAAAGAAAAAGGGAGAAAAAATGGAATTAGCCATCTTTTCAGAATGTGGTGATCAAATAATGGCTCACACAGTAATGTCTGTTTAATTTGTGGGGCTTCAATGCTTCGCAATGAACAGCTGAACAACAGCAACGCAGGGCCTTTTCAGGCCTCTCTCACATGGGGGTGGGGCAATTCATTTACTCCCCTCGCCACAACCAAATTCTTCAGCTTAACCTAAACTTTAAAAAAAACACACATGTTCTTACAGGAAAACATAAATAATTTTCCAAATAACCTCCTTTACATGTTTCTCCAAAATGAGTGAGATATCGGACATGATAGAGCAGTCACTCATTTCATAATCTATATAATAAAAAGGAATCACACGGAAGCCCCGGAATACAGGTCTTTTGTCCATGTACTTCTATGAGTAGTTATAACACATGTGCTATGTTGCATACAGTAGCTTCTTAGCCAGTATGTCTGTAGAGGGAGATACAGACTATGGGTGAAATACAGAGCTAACAAAAGTATATTTAAATATGGTTCACATTTTAATATATTGAGCAGAATATAACCTGAGAATTAGCTGGAAGATCCACATAATATTTTACATTTTATTGAAATAATAACTAGTATTTGAAAGAAGGTATGGAAACCAATAGTCAAACTCTGGATGGAAATGGCCAATTCAAGGGATCCCATCCAGCAAAAAGAAAAAAGAAAACAAAAAGAATCAATAATAGTTGGATTATTTCTACTTACTTAGTCTGCAGCATCATTCTAACATATGGGATAGTATCAAGTATTAAGCCATGAAATACAGTATCATAATATCTAGAATAATTCTTACATTAATACACTCATTAATTCCTTTAAATTGTTTTAATTCATGCAGCTTACTTCTGGTAACAAGAAACTATGTTTTGGTAGGTACCAAAATGTGAAATAATTGCAACTATATATTAGACTATGCTACCCAACACCTTAGGCTCTTAGGTAGTTTAAAAATATACACTATTTAGCCTTGCTAAGTCACCTCTATTAAACTGTTTATGATAACACCATTGGTGGATGAGTTGTATAAGCATTAGCAGACAGCTGATTCAGTGGAGATAGCCAGAATAAATTTGCTGAAGCGCACATCCTGCTAATCTGTTTGAAGAATATTGTAGAGCATTAGTACCAGCACTTCATGTTATCTGCACAGCCTGATAAGGTACATCTTTATTAAATTCGGTTATTGAAAGGATGTCAGTCAGCAAACAGGAATATTTTAAAATCTAAAAAAAATTAAAAAATTAAGCAGTTCTTTGTTAGTCAGAGCTTGGTTTCATAGCTGAGTGTCTAGAGGAGCCTTCTAAACACCTGGCAGCATCGTACAATACAAGCTTTGTAATTTTAAGTGGAAAAGCTTTTTTCCCAGCTTCCTGGGTACTGAGNCCAAAAGACAAAACCAGGAAGAAAAATCCCCACTACGTTGACTGAACCTTGGAGAAGACAACAATTCAAAAGTTATTTTATTTTTTATTATTTATTTTTAATATGTTGCCCTATAAAAAGCAGCGACAGTATAATTGTATTATTTACTTTGATAATTCAGACAGGTGAAATGAAGGCTTCAAACATTAAATGATACAGACCTTGCATGCTGCTTGATATCTACATATCTATATCGATATATTTGTAGATTACATACATGATAGAGAGAGATAGTAATTGCATCATTACTTACCTGTAACGTCAGCAGCCATTAATCCTTCTGCTCTGATTACTTTCACCTGGAGAAATCCCACATCTTTTAGGTTGTTAAATATCCTCAATGGGCTCTGAAAGACCCAAACATCAGTATTAGAAAAGAGAGGTCCTAAAGGGTCTCAAAGAGTGTGCTGAAAAAAAACACTAAGTTTTATGGTTGATTTCAGGATGCTGCATAAGTGACTTAAAGGCTATTTGTGTTTCTTCAATATAATTACCCTTCTACCATCATGAATGTGTACACACACACGCACGCGTGCACACACACACACACACACAATTTATGTAGATAATTGTAAGTAGATCTTCTGAAAGAATAAAAAATACCACAATATTTTTTCTCCAAAATAATTATCAGTAGGTGTTGAACAATAAATTATAGAATAGGATACGTCTGCTTTTTTCTTTCAATCTCCTTTACCAAAACACTCGGAAAAAACCTGCACCTATGAGTATGATGGCTCGGAGACTCATGAGTCTTTAATATCGAAACAAGTTGCTGGTTTTATAATACTTCAGACTTTAGGAGTAAGAAAGTCAACATTAAATTAGTTAATCATTTTTCTATGATTTTCTCTTGATGAGCATTGGAAATTACATGTGCTAGATGAAGGTTAAATTATTGAAAGACTATTTGCTATCTTTAATTTAAAATACTTATGTAGTTCTATAAACCTTTTAGGCAAAAGACATAAAATCATCTAACATAAATCAAATTGATCCCTAAAAATAAACTCAAAAGTGGTGAGCAATTTTTCTTAAATTTGTAATTTTATTTACCATGGTAGTATGCATAGAAAAGTAGAAGTCGAAAAATTTTGATAGAGGATCAAATCCAAAACCTATTTAACTTCATAAATTCATTTAATAGTAGTGTTTTAATAAATGTAGTACCAGAAGGAATTCAAAGAGAGATACCAATATAAAAATGCAAAACTAATTAATAGGCACAAATGCTTGAAGAGTAAAACGAACCTACAGAACTTTATATGCATTTGCTTATTTACAAATTGCAGCA